AACTCACTGATTGTCTTTTGTTTTACAAACTAAACGTAAGCTCTTTAGAGTAAGTATTTTAAAAATGAAAATCAAAACAAATACTACTGTTTTGGTTTTATTTTAATATTTCTAATATGGCGTCGGAAGTGGGAGGGCTTCCCACTTCCGAGTTACGCCAATGACTTAGTAACCCATGAGTTTATACTAAAAAAAGAGAACAAAATTTGACCCACTTCTCAAAAAGGTCTCTCATCACTGCACTAGGTATTGCTTATTTAATATGCGCTTTGAAGGATTAACTGCGATCACCAACTCATCAAACGAGTAGGGTTTCGAGTTTTGAATTGCAACTCAAAGCTTGCAGTACCAGTTTATAGTCTGTGTTCTGGCTTATATACCCTGCCCTGTGCTCTGTGTGCCTCTGACTGCCTTGTTGGTTTAGTGGTTGTAGTAGTTCTACTATTGATCGTGATGTCCTGGGTTCGAATCCCGGGTCGGGCCAAAAAGAAATCAATTATTGAAGGTTTCTGTCAAGAAATTCTCTCGAAATGTTGTTACGTGTGAGAACTAAGATAGAATGCCTCAATCCCAGCAAAATGGGTTTCCGGTTCGCTCACCTTACGAAACACAACAGGATTAAACTGCTACTTTATTTTATATCCTATTCCTACTACAACTACAATATAGCTGCAGCATGGCTCTACCACGTATAAACTATCTATCACTTATTTCTACAAAGTAAAATTATAAGAAAAAACAGTAACAACAAAGTTAGTTTAATGCCAAATAATGATGTAACTGTGAGCTGGTCTTAAAACCCGCAACATCATTTTCCATGGATGTGGCACAAATCTACTAAAGGAAATGTCTCGAAAATGTTGGAAAAATATTGCCGTAACTAGAAGAATAATTTTATTTTACTTATCTAACTATAAGGTCTACGCCACACTGAACGGAAATTCCGTCGCAGATTTTCCGCAGCGGAACGCTAATATCACAGAAATCTAAATAATAATACACTAGAAATGCCTTCTACTGTCTTTTAATATCGGGACGTGTGTCGCCGGTTTGCAGCTTTCACACATAAACAAACAATAAATACACAATTACGCCTACAGGTATCTCTAGCATTTAAGTAACAGAGATTAAACTATAAAACTATTGCATTAAGGAATATTTAATAAAAACCTAAAATCTCACGAGGCGTAGCCACTCGGTCCAATAATTAACGTGTGCGAAAAACAGAGAATGATATTATGCGTTCACTCTCACTTGGCCATAGTGCAGCGCAACGCACGTTTCGATAACTTTCTATTAAGCGTCATTGATCGTCCAGGAGTCTCACACCAAGGTATAACTAATTAACTGAAAGTGTCTCAGTAATAGACGCTGTTACTCTTAGCTTTAGCTTTTAGACATTTTATAATTAGAGAAAGGTGGATATATGTAATAAAACGTTAAGGATAAGTATATCCATTTATCTTTAATACCCGGATCTTTTGGAAACCTTGAATAATGGCATAGTATTAAATAAGCAGTTATTTAAATAAAATGAATACAACATTATACAAGGGTTCTGCTTTCCAATTTAGTTTACTATCCTTACAATATATTAAAACTGCATAAACATTTGTCAAGTAATTTAAAAGTACAAACAAACAGATAATCGCTGCTAGACGGTTAACGGTATAAAATATTTAGAAAGAGAAGGTGTAAACAAATATTTAACGAAAAATCACACTTCATTCCCGTTTCAACAATATATATATTTTATATATATATATATATATATATATTGTTAGTACATTTTCGGAATCCAATACACATACATGACAACTTGTAGTGATAGCTGTGTCAACTATCAAAAGGACAGGAAACACATCGGAAATAGTTTCTTAGAGTTTCACTTCCCAGGAGAAGTAATGTCCCCTCCTTATTGGATTCACTCGAGAGAACTAACAAATAGGCTTTGTAATCAAGTTAATTACGTCAATGTTATTTACTTTTGTGTTCTTATCCTTAGGGCTGCTGATGATTGAAACAATCATCAGATATAAGTTCACGGGATAAAATACAACATAAACAAATGAAAAATTACATTTGTATTGGACAAAATAATTCAATAGTCTCTCTTTTATATTCATTCAGGTTATAATTTATTACATTTATCTGACGAATGAAAAAGCAGCTTTCAAACGAGTTCTATAATCTAAGCGTCTAAGCGGCTGAACCGCTTATGTCAGGGGTAATCACATATAATAAAAAATAAAAATATACATTTCTTCGCAACCTTCCGCCAAACAAATACAATGATGTGTCTTACCTGGATTGAAGAGCCAGTCTTAGCGGTCAGCCGCCGTAGAGTCTACATTACCTGAAGATGCCTCGTGTAGAGGTGAAACACGTGTCGTATTATCGTCGATGGTGTGTATTGCCTGGAATAGTGGTGTTGGGAGTAGTACTGATTGGATTAGTGGTGACGGAGTTAGTGCATGCAATTGAGGGAGGGCGGGAGGTGCTCTTCAATCCAGGTAAGACACATCATAGTATTTGTTTGGCGGAAGGTTGCGAAGAAATTTATATTTTTATTTTTTATTATAATGGATTTCCGCAAAGTAACGTCTGATTCTATCAATTATCAGTAATCACATATAATTTTGAAATAACTTTTCCTCTTAATCATGGAATAGGCATCGACATCGATCCTCAAATACGAATCAAAGTAAGGTTACCCGTGAGAGCTAAGATGGAATGCCTTAATTCCAGCAAAATAGGTCTCCGGTTCTCTACGCACACCTTACGAAACACAACAGCATTGAACTGCTACCTTATTTTTATCCTTCCCCGGTCAAGCCAACCCATTCCTACTACAACTATAATATAGCTGCAGCATAGCTCTACCACGTATGAACTATCTACCACGTATTTCTACAAAGTAAAATTATAAGAGGAAAACAGTAATAAAAAATTAGTTTAATTTCAAATAATGATGTAACCGTGACCTGGCCTTAAAACCCGCAACATCAATTTCGATGGATGTGGCACAAATCTAACGAAGAAAAACATTGCCGTAACAAATTTAATTTACTTATCGGACTATAAGCCGTACGCCACACTGAACGGAAATTCCGTTGCAGATCTTTCGCGGCGGATCGCTAATACGTTTTATTGCATATAAATGACTAATAACGGGCACACTACGCAGAAGATCGATCGGTCCGTTGGCTGATCCGTGTAGAACAGGGTGCAACCGATAGCGGTTTGTTCAACTGCGATTTGTTCATGGCTAACAATAGCTGCAGGTTTGCGTCTGGCTAATACTATATCTATTTAAGTCGGAATAATAATCAAATAAACCACGACCTCTGTTAACTTTATCAGAATACGAAAACACCTATCAAGATATATCAGCCACAGTACTACACAGTACTACAGTAGTTCAGTTGCGAATGATGCAAACGTTAAGAAGCGCGGTTATTGAACTGTGGTTTAAATAGTCTCCGAATGGCGCTAATTCTTTTGGGATTTAACGGCCTCAAAACACAAGCGTGTCTCTTCCTAATAAAAAAGGAGCTCACGCACACTTGCTCCTACTTTTACAGTGCTTTTTCCGGTGTACTGACTTCATACAGATGTTAGGTAAAGATTTATTAAAACTTTAGCTGTTTAATTGAGTGAAAGACCAAAACAGCCGCAAAGAATCTAGTTTTCAAAGCCGTTTGTATAAACACTTATTTATTTTGCGATCTTTATGTCTGGATTGTTTAAAAAATTTCAGCTGCCTTTGACGTATAAGCATTCTCAAAAGCACACTGCATAATTATTATAACGACAAAAAATAGATAATAGTTTTAAAGGGCTGTGGGAATAGCATACAGTTCGTTGTTCCTTTATTTTATATTGCTTACGGAATTCTAAAAAATCTAATTTCAAATTTAGGTCGTGAAACTCCTCTTCTGCTTCCTCCCTTTTACCTGTTTCTGCCGTCATATGGCAATGCTTGCACTGCTGTGTTTCGATTTAAAGGTTACAGAGAGCTAATATAATCGAAATATTATAGTTATATTTTTTGTTTGGAGTTCTTTACAGATATCCATTGGCAGCAGGAGCTTCTATAAAGTTCGTTTGTCACTTCAGTTCCATAATAAAAAACATTTCTCAATGTAACATTCGTCCTGGGTACGAGCTCTATCCCGCGACAGGAAGAGCCATATTTTCATTTCCGTTTTAACTTTTTAGTGTTGTAAACTTAATAAAAATAGGTAAAAAAACTTTTTAAGTTAAACGGTTTTATGTTAAACATACATTGCAATGTTTAAGATAAATGTACTAAAAACCAAAAAATAATAAAATAGATACAGTCGTGGGAATTATAAACATATGCATAGACTAGACTAAAATAAAACCGTGGGGCACGTCAATTGTCTACAAATTATCGACTTAATGTGCGATAGAAGAATCGTTTAATTCGTCGTTAAAATAGGCAGTTGGCCCGCAGACGGTGAGGAAATTACTTACTATTTTCTTGCTCATGGAAATTCCAATAGTTATACACTCCATGTAAATAAAAGAGATGTTTCAACTAGTTTATCGTTGGACATTCACACTGCTGGCTGGCGAGGAATCGTTTCACTGCTCGTAGTTTGTCTTTAAGTACATATGATAAAAGTACTACTCGCTCACCACTATGAAACCCTAAAACTCGTTATAATCGAGCTTGCTAGCTTGTTTCCACATTCTAGCCCTACTTATCACATGTCATCGTTGTCGGTTGAACAACTGCCTAATTATAGTGTAACATTACAAAACAAACATTTTAATCAAGCGATTGTAGACAATTGACGTGCCCCACGGTTTTATTTTAGTCTAGTCTATGCATATGTTTATAATTTCCACGACTGTATATATTTTATTATTTTTTGGTTTTTAGTACATTTATCTTAAACATTGCAATGTATTTTTAACATAAAACCGTTTAACTTAAAAAGTTTTTTTTACCTATTTTTATTTTCTAGTTTTTAGTTTTTATTTCGCATTCTGTTTAATTCATTTAGTGCTTCATTATTGCAAGGTTTCTTGCCCGTTAGTTTATTGCTGTCCAACTCCTCTATACGTAGTCCCTGCAAAGATCTTACTCTACTAAGAGCCACGTAGACTTGAACTTCTTCAAACAGTTTCGCACCTAAGTATACGACTGCGTGATCCACAGTGCTGCCCTGCATTTTATGTATTGTAGAAGCCCATGATAGTATTAAAGGCAACATTCTTCTTTCAGCCGTCCCGTAATTGTACTTAGCTGGAAACTGTATGGCTTTCGGGTGTATAAGATGTACTCCGTCTCTTGCGAAATCAATTCGGACGGAAGGTACATCTGTTGCATACATCTGAGTTCGACGAAATTGAGGCCAAACGATTTCGTTGATGTAGCCTATAGCGCCATTTACTAATCCCTTTGAAACGTCAATATTGGACCGTAGCATGACTTTTGCCCCCACAAATATTTGCAGTTCCGCTGGTAAACCCCCAGTTTTGTTGATATCAGCTGGTATTATAGTAGCTATATCCACATTGTCTGCATTTCGTGTGGCGTGTACTAGCTGATCCTGCGCTTTTATTTTGTAAATGCGAGCACCATTATTTCTGTACAAATTCAATACAGCAGAGTTGTGGTCGTTAACTTGTTGATTTGTGGGGTATACCCTTAATGCTTTGTCTATTGCAAACTCATCACTCGTGTCTTGAAGAAGTCTTCCCATTAAAATACTAAAATGTTGGGTTGTTAGCTCACCGACTCTCAAAGCATTCAAAATATCAATAAAAGTCTGGTCACCTTGCTGACGCATATTTTCAGTTAATTCACACAGCGTGAATAAACGCCAGAGATGTGTAGCACGGTTGGAGATGTTCTGGCTGTTTGAAAACAGGTGTTCCTGATCGTTTTATAGGAGGCAGTTGTAAAAGATCACCGAAAAGTAATACGTTTACTCCTCCAAAAAACTCATTTTCACAGTTCTTAATTTGCCTTAATCGAGCGTCCATCATGCATAACATTTGATAAGACACCATGGAAATCTCGTCGACAATCAAAAATTCTGTCTGATGCCATTGTTGCCTCATTATTCGCAAATAGTTTCCGGACAGTGGTGACATACCTGTTATGCGACCGTCTTTCTGTACAGGCAATTTTAAAGTACTGTGTATCGTAGCTCCATTTATTAATCTAGCTGCAACTCCTGTTAGTGAGCAGACTTTAACCGCATCCTTTGCGTAGCACCTATTAATTTGGTCTCGTAATAACTTTAATAGAAAAGTCTTGCCCACACCAGCTCCTCCTGTAAAGAATATTTTTAAACGTTCTTCAGCACCTGACATTTGATTTTGTATGGACTGGGTAACTAATGTAAAAATTTCCTTTTGTCCTGCATTCATAGACTGCTTAGCCTGTAAGAACTGGTCTTCATTCATTGGCAAATAAGGAACTTCTTCTTCATGGTCGTGTTCCAGTATCTGAAATGCGTGTACTTGCGCGAATGCATTTTCAAGCTGCCTGTCACGTTCACGATATATTTCCAAATAGGCGTTTGTTTGTCTTAAACTTTCTTCGTTGGCGAGAAATGCATCTCTGGCACTATTAAATTCTCCTAAAAGTTCAGCCTCATTGCGGTACGGCATATACTGGATTAGTAAACTGTAATAATATGACTCTGGATCAGAAGCTGCTACGAAGTTAGATACCCGTACTACAGCTGGCGTGTTTCTAATAGTCATTTTGGTGTTGTCTGTTAAAGTTATAAGACACCTTCTTGTTGTTTGCTCGTGCGGTGCATAAGCATCGGTATCGATGCTCTCTTCATTTATAACTAGCGGTTTTGTGTAGTGTGGCTCAAATAACATCGCAAATTCTATGAGACACATATTGTTAAAATCATAGTTGGGATGCTTTGCTGGTCGCTTTTCATATCGTTCGAAAATATTGGCACAATATCCTGCTGCTTGACCAGCTTCATTAAACTTCAACACTTTATACCTTTGTTCCGCTTTACGAGTATTGACAAAAATTGTTTTTCTCGAGCTGTCACGCATACTCAAATGGCATAGCCTGAATACGCATTCGCAGGCTGAAACTTGACGTTCTCTTAATATGCGCATGCATATTTTAAACAGCTTACGCGAGACGTCAGTTTCTTCTCTTCTAATTTGTTGAATAGCTCGAGATACTTCACCATCTAGGTTTGTAGGTTCTGATTTTGACACGTATTTAGCGATGTAATACGCAATCGACTCATTTGTATCACACGGTTGTATATCCATATTGGCTTTCCACATTTTTAGCAAAGCAGGACTGTAATTATTTACCCAACCATCTTCACTTTTTCTTTTCAGAACGCAAATGCGACCACCGTTGTAGATGAATTCGTTAGATGAAGGATCAATAACATGTGTCTCTAAGCATTCCGAGCGTGGAAAGTTGAAACGACAAACAGAATTATTTTTCGTGCAGGTACTAGTGTGTCGATGTATTTGACAATTTTTAACTAATTCATATAGTTCTGAAGTTTCTGGAGGAATGGCAGTACTACAGACTGAATCAATGCGAGCTATTCCTTCAGGTGTCGCAACAGACGGGTGATCTTCGATCCAAACAACCATATGCAAATGAGGACTTCCTCTGTTCTGAAACTCGATTCACCACCAATGATCTTTAACTTTACCGCCAAATATTTCAGTATCAGTTTTAAGAAACTGCATTAGCGCATTAACACGTACCATAAAATGTCTACTCACAACAACTGGATACATCTCGAGAAGGTCTCTGAGTTTCCTGAATATCTATGTCATCTGGGTCAATGTGCTGTTTACCATCACTAACAAGGAGACCTCTTTCCATATCCCTCCAGTGAAGATCATTGCAGCTCAATGTAACAAAATAAGTGGGAGGTCCTAAACATCTGATTTGTGCTATAAGATCAGTAAGAGCACTACGCCAATAAGCAGCGGAACCTCTTAGATTTTTTTAAATATAAGTGCAGGTCTTCCATTCGATTGCCGTTTTCACCTTCAACTTTTCTAGCACAAGCTGCAATGGTTGATTTAACTCGATAGTACTCAAACATTGATAGAGCATAGAATAGGTAATCGTTGCGCTGAAATCTAACATCAGCACCTAATAAACGAAATTGATAGTAATCCAAAGGACTTATATTTACGGTCCGTTGTTCTTTCAAACCATTTTTACCATACGGGAAAAGCTGATACCATGCGAACTCTTCTGCTTTTAACTCATAAGCTTCATTCACAATATTATTATTCGTCTTTCTTCTGATTTCGTTTACATTTTCAGATACCTCTAGTTCATCTTCAACATGGTTGGACGCTATCAATAGGCAACATTACAGATGTTTGTATAGGTATAGTTTCAGATCTCGGATTCGAAAGCGGTTGTTGTACTTGTACATCCTGATGAGTGATGTCATCTTCCTGTTGCTGTACTTGAACACCCTGACGAGTGATAATATTTTCCCTCAAATGTACGTCTACGCGTGTAAGGGTGTACGCGATATTACGGGATCCGAGGCATCTTTTACAGATGCTGCACAGTTCCTGTTAGTTGTCGCATTCTATAACACACGCTTTGCCATTTTCTGGTGTTGGTTTTCCTTTTGGGCCACAAGAATGGGAGTCAGCAAAATAGTATTTGTCTTCACCGCGAAATACGCTAACAGATTTATTTGACGCTGTCAATATTCCTGAAGAATGACTATCAAATAATCTATTTAAAGCTGTATGTAATGTAATGCCGATATTATTGGTATTTACAGAATCTTGGAGACTCCCGAATAAAAGAGTGTCTTCATCATATTCTATAGAAAATCGGCATTCATACATTTGTAAACTTTGCCTGACGATATGAAAGTTTCGTATCTCTAAATATCCTGTTTCATCCAGTTCAGTAGGATCAAGCTGGGTACGAATCCAGCAATATAAGGAGTCACCCGCTAACATATTAGCATTCAGAATATTGACGTCCCATTGATTAGGGCTTAGGATTGCAGCTCGGACAATGTTCGCCAACGACATAGCACTACATTGTACACCAGCATATCGCGAAGTAAAGACGTTGTAGTCACCTTGATGCCATGAAGCTCGAATAATTCTTGCAACATTATTAATTGGAATGAATGCATTTCGAATTTCATTTTCATTCCTTTCGGACGCTTCATCTTCAGACAATTCGGGCACACTAAGTCGTACTAACTCCTGGTCACTAATTTGGGCGTTGTAGTCAATACGTACATCTTTGTAAAGCGGGTTATTTCTGATTAACCATCTTAAAGCACTATAGACTTTTTCGCGACATATTGTGAATTCCCTGGTGATGTTCAAATTTTCTAATCGTTCGGTTACTACAATAATGCCTACCTGGCTTGCAGATCTTGGTAGCATACTAGGCAGTCTTTCACTGACTTCAAAGATATCTTGGGCAAATAAAACTGCCTGTCCGCGAAAACCGTACTGCCCATAGAGGCCACTAAATTTCACGATTTTAACAAAGGGAATTATTCTGCACAGCAAACGTTGTTCCGCCTGTGTCAATGTTTGAATAACGTCTGGTATAGAACCTGGATCCAGATTATTCCAGTAAGCTTTTGGTGGTGCTGTTGTTTTATTACTAGTAACATGTGGTTGACAGCGGGAACATAATAACAATGATATTGCTTTTTCTGCTCATCAGGCGTTTCTGACGCTATCATCTGTGTGTATCGCTCCCGTTGTTTTGTTAACCTGGCTTCATATTCTTCAGGCGTTTCTGACGCCGTCATTGGTGTATATCGCTGACGTTGCTTTTTTAACCTGGCCTCATATTGCTCAGGTGTTTTTGACGCTAATTGTTCCCGTAGTTTCTGTAATCGACTATTTCTATCACCTTCACTTTCTTTAGCTCGTTTTGCTTTATACTTTTGTTTCGCTTTTTGAATCCTTCGTTTACGTTGTGTTGCAGTTTCTGTTTTATTTGTGTTTGTATTTTTTATATTTTTTTTACCATTTTGTTCCCACGAGTAATGGACATTTAAACGGTCGACCCCCCAGAGGTCCAATAAAGGGGCAAGGCTATGTACAAGATGCGCCTGAGTCTTGAGGGAGAAAACGCTAACGACATATCATTTTTATCCACCCTAATGCCATACAGTCGTTCTCTGGGTTCCTCCTCAACACGATACAAAATCTTGACTTGGGTTGTGGATTCAGGCTGGATTAATCAGATACCTAAATAACAGATTCAATTTCTAAATTTAAATCCTATTGTTATACGCCATTTGGTGGCTGCGCCCATCTTAAATATTGAGGTTGTATAGTGCACTGTATTCTTCTTGTCAAGCTCTTTTATTTGATACCCATATTGGTGGGATTGATAAAAAATTGTTATCAGCCATTTGGTAGCGGCGGCCATCCTAGATTTCAATTTTGCATAGTAAATTGTATTCTACTTGTTGAGACCTTTCATTTGATACCCATGTTGATGGGATTGATAAAACCTTTTTTAGCCACCCTAACGCCACACAGTCCTCAACACGATACAAAATCTTGACTTGGGTGGTGGATTCAGACTGGATTAATCAGATACCTAAATTACAGATTCAATTTCTAAATTTAAATCTTATTATTATACGCCATTTGGTGGCTGCGCCCATCTTAAATATTGAGGTTGTATAGTGCACTGTATTCTTCTTGTCAAGCTCTTTTATTTGATACCCATATTGGTGGGATTGATAAAAAATTGTTATCAGCCATTTGGTAGCGGCGGCCATCTTAGATTTCAATTTTGCATAATAAATTGTATTCTACTTGTTGAGACCTTTCATTTGATACCCATGTTGATGGGATTGATAAAACCTTTTTTTAGCCACCCTAACGCCACACAGTCCTCAACACGATACAAAATCTTGACCTGGGTGGTGGATTCAGGCTGGATTAATCAGATACCTAAATTACAGATTCAATTTCTAAATTTAAATCTTATTATTATACGCCATTTGGTGGCTGCGCCTATCTTAAATATTGAGGTTGTATAGTGCACTGTATTCTTCTTGTCAAGCTCTTTTATTTGATACCCATATTGGTGGGATTGATAAAAAATTGTTATCAGCCATTTGGTAGCGGCGGCCATCCTAGATTTCAATTTTGCATAGTAAATTGTATTCTACTTGTTGAGACCTTTCATTTGATACCCATGTTGATGGGATTGATAAAACCTTTTTTAGCCACCCTAACGCCACACAGTCCTCAACACGATACAAAATCTTGACTTGGGTGGTGGATTCAGACTGGATTAATCAGATACCTAAATTACAGATTCAATTTCTAAATTTAAATCTTATTATTATACGCCATTTGGTGGCTGCGCCCATCTTAAATATTGAGGTTGTATAGTGCACTGTATTCTTCTTGTCAAGCTCTTTTATTTGATACCCATATTGGTGGGATTGATAAAAAATTGTTATCAGCCATTTGGTAGCGGCGGCCATCTTAGATTTCAATTTTGCATAATAAATTGTATTCTACTTGTTGAGACCTTTCATTTGATACCCATGTTGATGGGATTGATAAAACCTAAGTTATCCGCCATTTTGTTGAGGCCGCCATCTTGGATTTTAATTTTATATAGTACATTGTATTATACTGGTTGAGCACTTTCATTTGATACCCATATTGATGGGATCGATAAAACCTACGTTATCCGCCATTTTGTAGCGGCCGCCATCTTGTACTTCAATTTTTTATAGTATATTGTATTCTGCTTATTGAGCCCTTTCATTTGATACCCATATTGATGGGATTAATAAAACATAAATTATCCGCCATTTTGTAGCGGCGGCCATCTTGAATTTATAATGATAATGAATAAACATAATTGTATTGTCACCAAAATCCAAAGTGTATACAAAATTTCAGATTAATCGGTTGACAGGAAGAGGGTGAAATTTGAATTACTAAATTTGACCCAAGAATAATAAATAAAACAAACGGGGTGAGCTAAATAAAACCTCTTTTATATTTTTATATTATAATTTAATATGTTAATACTGTTCTTTTCTTCGTACATCATAAGCAATTACCGACTTATTCAATTACATTGCATAGGTGTTAATGCCATTACGCTTGATGTGGGTAGGCTCGGAGAAGTGAGATCATTTGCGGTTGCGTCCAGGAACCTTTGTGCTTGTAGTACTAAATTAAGTCCTACGTAGTTGATAGCTTACGAAAATATTTATAGATGATAGAGCCTGCATCATGCAGGTATATTATATATGTTGCACGATTGGGTCGGCTCTACCACGTTCTCACTGAATACCAGCGTAAACTAGCAGCTTAATGCTGCTATGTTTCGTTCGTATGGTGAGTGTAGAGAACCGGAGACCCCTTCTACTGGTAACGTGGCATTCTATCTTAATCCTCAGGAGTGACAAAGCATCCGAATTTTGATTCTTTATTGATCTAGATGTCTATGAGTCACAGCATCTACTACCAATGGACTGTGTGCTAGTTTGTTGTTTCTTTGACACTTATTCTATACTAAAAAAAAACATTTAAAACTTATTATCAGTGTCATTCTTTTTTACTTAGGACAACGACCTTGAAGTATAGGTTTG